ACGAAATTCGGACATCGCGGCATATAGACAATTCAAAAGCGGCTTTGACATATCCGGTATATGGTGGATTTGTTACGTCTAAAGCCACAGTAGTAACGTCCAATCGAATCGGAAACGGAGGGCTTCACTTTTTCATAAAATATGATCGATAGGACTTTAAAATCGATGCATAGTAGTTGGATCTGGCAGAGCACACTTAAAACTCAGTCATAGGACATGCGTTCATCTGACCATATTCGGCATAAGATTTGATGCATACACCTTATCAACTTCTAGTTGCTTGAATAGGTCTGCTGGGTGGCCGTGAGCTCCAGTAGTTTCGTAATTTTTCCATCGCGTAACTATTCTTCATAGTCAGGCGGTGGGACATCGCCGCCGTCACCATTAAGGGGGCTAGTGTTTTGATGCACAGACACCAAAGATATCGATGTTGCTAACCCTGGCATTGCCAGGCACAATTTGGATGTCATGTCGGTGGGTAACGAGTTCGCGCTTCCTTACATCTCGGTGGGCGAAGATGTTAGACATAAAACAGTCGTGAAGAGGCATCTTCCCTATTAAGGGTTTGGACATTCCTAGGTGCATTCCATCAAAGCGTAGTACCATGGTCGCCATCAAGAGAAAGGGGTTTCACTCGAGGCTTGTTTGGTCCTTTCATTGAAAGTTGTTTTTACGTGGTGGTCTTTAGCCCAGTGCAGAACCCATTTCTAGGAGTATTTTGACTTCTCTCAATGAGTTCGCTTGGGAACAAGCACTCGGTTTCTATCAAGAGGACCCGGACGCAAAATAATCATTTTTGGCCACTCTCTGGAGAAGGGCGATCAAAAATTGTGAACTATCCTCTACCCTAATTACTTTAGCTTCAAAATGCATTAACCCTACTTCATCGCGCGCCTCTCCGGCAGGCATCGCACTCCACCGTTTGAGTTTAGTATTACATGTCAAACACAAATGTTAAGTGAAGTATTGTACTGACTACCATGCCATAAACAAATACATCAACATAGATATACCATAAACATATTTGTGTACATAAAAAGCAATAAGTACTTAGTATTCATGTAAATTCATTTATAGTGTGATGAAGCTGCTGGCTTTAGCTGCACGTTGCTCTAAAATCAAATTAAATCTTCGAGTGGATATGTGTATTAATACCCTAATATGCTTACAAATTCACATACATATACACATAAATATGAATGTATATACTTGTACATACAAGTTTGGTGTACAAGTGGTTAAGTCGTCCCTTGAAATCCTATCAAAGTGCTGTTAAACACTCTTCAGAAATACTAATTATAATATTTCGACAATGGTTGGATTATGCAAATACAAACATTACTTTAGTGGCCTGATAACAATTTTGCGTTACGCGGTGGGCATATCGCACACGATCTTCATAGGTGACACAACTCAAAATTACAAGTTTTTCAAAAAATGTGAAAAACGATTTCTTAGCATATGCTGATCATATGGGCAAGGGAGACTCTACCTTAGGTTTTCTCAAAAAATTATAATAAAAATTTGCACTAGCTTTTACTGAAAGGTAAGTAGAATCTCTGTGTACATTTTTCGTGCATAATTTCAAAAATGCCAAATTTTGAATTGTGCAACTTTTGAAGACCGTGTGCGATATTGTGGGAAAATAATTCATAAATTATTACATGTGTTAACGGAGTGAAGCAGAATTTAATATGATTCTATTCTTCATCCTTTACAACATACTCTACATCCCACAGAGCCCGTGGAGTTAATACTCGTGAATATATTTTCCCGAGCTTTGCATTAACTTGTTTCTTCCTCTACCTTTCCTCCGCGTCTGTCAGTCGAGGCAAGGCATACGCGCGTTTTTTCAGGTGGATAAAAAAAACTAAACTACCGCCGCGTTGAGGGGAATTTGTCTAATTTAGACGCCCAAAAGCCGACTTTCCAAACGCACTTTTAGGTAGCTGTTTTGAAATTCAACAAATTTTCGTACAAATTTCGAGCTTTCAAACTCAGTGGGCTACAAAACTGCATACTTATAGGTAAGCGGGCTGCCTTCGCATGTGGAGGCACACTTGGACTCGACTAAGCTGTCCGTTGTGATGAGCATACTCATAATCTAATTAAAAATTCAAAGTTTGTACGAAAATTCGTTGATTTTTTTTTTTTTTTTTCAGTGCATACATTTTTAAGGCAGTTTCACTCGATTGGTACTTTTGTACAGATTTGTGCATTTTTATATTGGGCTATTTGTACAAAATAAAAAAAAATTGGCACAATACAGCAATCTTGTATTGAAGAATTTCAACAAATTATTTTTGGAACAAAGAAAAATATTTGGGTATTCACACAATTGGGATACGATTTGCACCAAATTTCGGCAAATTCTTAATCGTGTGACACTGCTTTTAAACCGGATTTTGATAAAGAATGAACTATAAAAAATAACCAAAATTAAATAACAACAAAAAATATGTATTTTAAAACTTGTCAAAATTTTGTGCGGCTATAATTTTTTCGACTACCGTATCACAGTAGCACAATGACACCTATATTTGACTTACAAACCGAATATGGGCAGGAATTTCAAAAGTTCAACCCTATTTGTGTGAAATATTTTATTTTAATCAGTATTTTTTTTTTTTGATCAATCTACATTAAAAAAAAATTTTGTCAGAACGCCCCAGCATTACCTGTGCTCCTAATTCATCTGCTCTGCCCGTGTAATGGCTAGGTACATTAAAAGCTTTTAGAAAACATATTTTTGGAGACGAACATCCTCGATATAACTACGTGCGAAGTGCTATTTCTGCATAAGCGAAACTTGAACAAAGATTACCATCTATAATGATGCGCTATGTATAAAAATCGTTCAACTGATTCTTGTTAAATTTTTTCTTAAATGTAGTGACAAAGTAGACAATTCAGCCAGTTCGTTTGTCAAATCTTAAGCAACAAGCCATAAGCTTATTTTCTTGCAATACTATTTTTTTGCACACCATCTGCTAACGTTTGCAATACTTCTATGAATTTGTAGTAACCCTAAGCGACAACTCGGGCAGCATGACCATCGAGTATAATTAAGAATTTTGGGTTTAAAAATTCCTTATTTTGTAGTAGATGCAGTGAAAAAAATGAACAGATATTGCAGAATATCGAAGTAACGTTGTGTACAAGCCAACCCATGGCTGTGATAGGCGTACACAGCAACTCCATTTGCCCATTCTGCGTACAAGAGGACGAGTCGCGCTTGCAAGAATTAGATATGAGGCATTTGGCCGCGATGTGTTCAGAGACGAACACCTGAGCTCTTTGACACCCAACAATCTGCTTAGGTTTATTCGTAAATCGTGCAGATTTAAAATAGTTTAAAAGGGACATGAAAACAATGCAATGGACGGCATGTAGTCTGAGTGCTGTTTTCGGCACGCGTTGTTTTGAGCCTGGTTCCGAAAAAGACGAAAAAAAATCATTAAATGCGGCATAAGAAAACTATGTATTGCGGTACACAGTACAAATGTATATATTTATTAGTATCTCTTTTGTTTTTGGTTAAAGTATACTTTTATTTCGATGCACTTGATCCATTGCAATCTTCGTGCAAAAGTCAACTAAAAATCTTACTCTTCAATCAAAGCACTTTTATTCTGCACTGTCAATAATTTTATTAGTATTATTTTTTCTCTGAATGAAAGAGTGGCCAAAGGAAATCAAACTTACATAATATCGATAAAAACAAACTACAGAAAAGCTAAACACTGAGGCAATGAAAGGGATAGTCGTGGTATTGGCGGACAACAGCGGAACGTGAGTGCGCCTGCTTAGAGTCGAGACACCAACAAGAAGCATGAAACAAGTTTGCCTGGATTGCTAATAAGTAAGTGCATATACTATGTAAATATGTATATATGTATGTATGCATATAAAAATGCAATAAAACTTATGCGTATCATACGAGCCATACGAAGAAGCCGCAGCAAGCCAAGACAAGCGGTAAGCGAACAGCTTCAATGGCTTATTGAGTGGATAGTGGCAGCTGGTTTATATGCTGGCGATTGGTTAGTGACAGCGTTCCGAGCTGGTTTTCTTGTCTCGTTGGCGTAGACTTGAGCCTCACATACATATGGACGTTATATACCCCGCAAACATATGTATTCTGGGTGCTCATAATATACGAATCCAAAAGGAGTACTATGTAGGTATGAGAAATATGAGTTTAGAATACAAAAAATGTCTGCCTTTTTACAAAGAACTAAAACCACGTAAAAGCCCTTTAATTTGGCACCTCATTTCAGTTTATTACCAATGAGGAGCATATACATATTTTTCTCAGCGTCTAATGCATTTTCCAATATTACATTTACTATTGCCATAATTTTTGAATGTGTCCGTTTTGCGCTGCAAAATTTATACTCAAAAAACGTACAAAAGGTACCTCAAGTGACATTTCAAAATTGTTGGTTTAATTATTTTGATTGTTTATATAACTTAAATTGACATTATTACAATAAACAAATTAAATAAGTTACAAGAATACGTCACATTTGTTATCAATATGGCCCAAGTTTTTTATAAAAAGTAAAATAACATTAATAAAATTAATTTGCCCATATATATGTATGATATTTTAAATAAATTTTTGCGGAATGCCTTTGCAAGTAAAGTGCATTTAATAAGGGTCCGAATGTAATCATTTATTAAGCCAATACGAGTCATTTAAGAGCCTCAGATGTAGTCTGAAATAATTCATGTATGAGGCCAAAAATTGTTTTAAAAGCGGCCACAATGAGCCTTATATGAGGCCAATAAGAGTCCAATGTGACTCACATTGAGGCTCATATAAGTCGACCTTCTGAGGTAGGGAAACACCCTCATTTCGGACTCTTAAATGAGCTCATTATGAGCGTAAATGCACCGAAATAGGACTCCTTAAAAGCCCATATAAGACTCCAAATGTTTGCTGGGTAGTAGTTGGTTTGAACTTTCGAGAAAACCTGCAGTGAGTCGTGGCGCAGCCTGATTGCCTCGCCTATATTGATGACGACGGTAGCGACGACGACGACGACGATGACAATCAACTTCCAGAGCGGCAATCACTAGCCCAACTTCAGCTCCAACCTCAGTCGAGTCACAAACAGAGTTACTTCAAACAGCGGCCGACAACTTGGTCATATTGCTTTTTTTTCTTCTTCTAATAATTTAAATTCAAGTCACACACCTACAAATTGTGAAAAAATCTTGCAGACTGGTTTAGTCCGTTGTGTTACCTACAACATTGAACAACCAATAAATTCATCGTTCGCGCTAGATCGCTCACTTGCTTGTAGCCACGTTAAGATCCGTTAAGATAGTGTAAAAGTAGTGAAAAAAGTAGCTGATTATAATGATGAAACTCCTCCAGTTGATCTTGTTGCTGGCCTACGTAGCATTGGTGAGTGCGTAACATGGAGCATAAATAAATGATAGATATACATATATGTATTAGCATAGCAGAAAATGGCACAGCAGATGAAAAGCAAAACAAATACGCATAACACATTTTTTTCAGTTCAATTTTCTCTCAGCGCTCGGCTTGCTATGTGGCTTGCTCAACTTGCGTTTTTATTTACATTGCATTCGTTTTCTTTTCAACAGGTTACAGCAAGATTCCAGATACGCACAGCTGAAGATGCTCGAATAGCACATGGGGAGTGCCGTGCGGAATTTAATATACCTGATGAAGTGTATGAGAAGTTCTTGAATTACGAATTCGTTGCTCATAGACGTACCAACTGTTATGTGAAGTGCTTTACCGAGAAAATGGGACTCTTCACCGAGGAGAAGGGCTTCGATGAGAAAGCGATTATTGCGCAGTTCACTGGAAAGAACACCAAAAATCTAGCTAAAGTCTCACACGGTTTGGAGAAGTGTATCGATCACAATGAACACGAGTCGGATACGTGCACTTGGGCGAATCGCGTCTTCTCCTGTTGGATATCTGTGAACCGGCCGATTGTGCGCAAGGCCTATATTCAGAATTAAGCTGGACGTATGACGTTCGGTTGTGATTATAGAGATTATGTATATATTATAAAATATTTTTAACTATGCGAAATTAAAATGCAAAGATTCAAAAGATATTGAAAAAAATAATAAAATAATATTTAAATGTCTGAGAAATGCATTTAATTAAGATAATAAAAAAAATATTAAATAAAATGTGGTAGACTGCAAAAGAACTGCAGTATTGTTTAGAAATTAATGTATATTATGTGTATTCAGGTATATGTGAATCTATAATAATATAATATTTTATGAATTTGCGTCCGCTTCTTCGGTCTTCTGCTGAACTTGCACTTCTTTTGTTTTTTTGCTCGCAATCACTGCACTCAGTGTCGTCGTTTCCAATGGGTATGAACCGTCTGTATTGTAGTTCAATCGTTCCAAACAATTATACTCCTCATACATCCATTCACACTTGTCGCGGATCTGCATTTGCTCAGCGCTCACCTTGCATACATCGGAAGCTTTGCGATTTTGTCGCATTGGACCGAATGCTTTGACCCAGTTGTCGAAGTTCCACTCGTAGGTGGGCGTGTAGAAATTCATTTTTTTTGCTAGGCATTGGAAGAGACAGGGTACCACTTCTTTGGAGGGAAAAGCGGCGTACTTTTGTAGCTCCTCCATGGTGACATTCAGCTCGTTGGCACAACCCAAAATGTTTCTGTAGGTTTCGAGAGTGTAAAGTTCAGCCTGCGATAGGAATAGTCATAAAGGAATATTATAACAAGAGATTAGAGAATGTCGCTCAGTTGTGTTTAAGTTTCGAAATATTAGTGCTGTACGTAGTGGTTTTAATTTCATAAACGTGTCCGAGCAAAGTAGGAAAGCCTTTTGGAAGCCATCAGTGTTCAATTTTTTCGTAGGCTGGGGGTGTTAAACTACGTATCAGCTGCAAAAAGGGACGCCGATTCACAGATATTTGTGACCTACATATGTATATAGGGAGGTAAAGATGTAATCAAGGAGTATTTTCTATAATAAGAAAATAGAGACCGAAATACGCGACAGGAAACACGCTCGAAATCGTACCTGAAAGTTATGGCGACTAACGGGAGGTTTTAAGACTTGAGAACACTGGCGTCAGCACTGAAAGGAGTAGAGAGGACGAACCCCAGCACCCAGTCGATGATGACGGAGGCCCTGCGGAATAGTAGCATGCACTGATAACCATTGCACTACACTACTATTTTTCGATTTCAAAGCCGTTTTCGCCGCTTTCGAAGTTGTCTTTATGCAGCGATGTCTGAATTAAGTATCACCGCGAAACTAATGCGGCTATGTTTGGTGACGTTCAGCATACCATCAGCTCCACCAGAATCAGGAAGGGCCTATCCGAGCCGTATGATACGAAACGAGGTTTCAGATGAGGTGACTTTTGGGTTATTTCTTTAATCGGATTTTGGAGAATATAATAAAATCTGGAAAACTTCACCGCTCAGCTAAATTATTTGCAAAAGCGTAAAATTGTTGATGTATTCCGGAGGGCTACGTCTGTTATGCCTTCTCGTAATTAGATAGGGTGGTGAGAAAATTAAGTATATCCTGTTATCAGACAATTAGTGAAAGTATCAGCGCCTCGGCACCCACGTCACTGTTGAGAAAAACAATTTTGAAAAGTAGGCGGATACAGGAATCCTCTAGTTGGCAGACCCCGCATTTTACCGAAGGCCTGTTTACATTGACAGCAGTGGAATTCTAGCTGAATAATGCCTGCGCTTAAAAATATGTAGCGTCTATGGTTATGTTGCAATATTGCTTACGATTTTATATTAAACCCCTTCCGCTTTTTCGTTGCATATTTTTAGGCCATAGGTTCTTCATTTAGAAATTTTTAGCGATAAAATTTAGCTTAGCGCATTCTAAAATGCCAACACAGAACGCTGTTGAAGCTTTGGAAGCATTTTTCTCCATAAGAGACTTCTATAAAAGTTTACTATCTAAGGTAAGATATCGCAAGAAATTTGAATAGTGGCAGGGGGAACAACGCCATCCAGCCTTCTCCTTCAATTGAAAAGCACAGCACTACTTTTGGTTAGGTTAGCGGACAGCTCATTCTCACTAATCCTGCGTTAAATTTGATCACCAGGACCCTATAGCCAAACATCAGAGCAATCACCGCCCATAGGAAAGTCACTATGTTGACCCTAGAGCCTAAATATATGAGATCCTCAGGGTTTCCGGCTAGAAATGCCTTCCATTTTGCCACTTGCGTTTACAACTTTTTACATCACTTCTTACCTGCTTCAAACAACGGAATCCCGAGTATGCAAACTCACAGCCATCCTCATTATAACGATCCAGCTCATAACGACAATAATTGAACATATCTGCACCTAAATCTTCAGCTATCTTCTTTTTATTCCACTTGCTTTCCTCAGCATCGAACCAGCCTTTCTCAACGGCGAGACATCGTGTAAAGCAGGGAATTTCCTCCGTTGTCCATTTGGAATAGCGAGCAACCTTCTGTAACTGTCCAACAATATCTTTGCTGCCCACTTCTCGGAGGCATTTGCGTAAAATGTCTGCGTCTGCGTCTGCATCAGCGTTTTGATTCGCCGACACAACTGAGGCTGTTTTTGTCGTTGTCGCGCTGCTTGCCTGCAAACAAAGCGTTTGTTTACTTTATTTCATTGTCTAAAAGTTTAAACTATTTTATAATTTGCATATACTAGTCATTAAAACGAGTACGATTTCTGGTTTCGCTGGTCTCAAATTTAAAGTATTTTAGTTTCTTGCTCACCACTTGTATGTAGATTACGGTCAAAAATAGTGAAAACAAATATGACGTCTTGCGAAAAATCATTTTGTCTGAATTCCGTGTCATTCCTAGAGCTCTGTTGCTGGACCTTTTGTGTTGAAAGCGTTTTATGTGACTGATTTTGATTGGAATTGATCTCCGCTAATCTGCTGCTTCACCGATTGATGGGTGGTGTTGTTGTCGTTGTTGTTCTAAAGTTTGCGCGTTTTCGACATTATAATCTGTATTTTACATTCTTTCTTTTCTGAGATAAGCTGATAGCATAGTGCTTTTAGTGATTGTACCAAGGTACATACATACATACTTCCATTTACATATACGTAGATATGTACATATAAATATATACATATGTATGTACATATATGTTGCGCAGCGGCAGGGTTATCGGTGGAAACGCTGAAGTGTCATTGATATTTGTAAACACAGCGTAGCGTTGTTACACAGCTAAACATGTCGGCAGCATAAATAGAACAGTTCTTATACGCAAAAGTGCCCATGTGGATTTGAAAATATGTAATTAAAATTATTTATAATCCTCCTCGTTTCTGAAGTACCCAAAATATAAGAATCGATGGCATTTTAAACATCCTTTCGAGATTGTTTAATCTAAAACAGCTGAATTGAATTTTGTTAATTTGGACTACTAATATTGTATGTATCGACATTTCGATGGTCCTCTGCAATAACGAGACAACTCAAAATTCAAATCAAAAAAAAAAAACAAAACCGTTACTACTATTAAGTGTCTCATGTCTCTAATCCGTGTCTAGTCCATGTCGACTGATTACCAAAGTAAGTACCTAGTAAGGATTACTAAAGTAAGTAGAACCACCAATTTGTTCTTATATAAGTGAAGACAATTTTTACAAAAACAAGTGGAAAATATCTCGGCAACTGGCCCGAAAAAAGCCCTATTCCTGAATTTGTTTCAAAAACGTTCTCTCTCGGTTTCCGATATACATATTGATTTTAGAGTGAGATAGGGCATTTTTGAGTCACATTCTTAGATAGGGTGTTCTTCAACCAAAATTCTGAAATAGGGCGTCTTTCAACCCTTCGACTATATGTCGTATTTGCTTCAAATAAAAATTGATTCGACGTCAAGCGGTCTTTTGTTTAGCGTAAACATATTTTTGTTTTGAAATTTTTTGGTTGGAGAAGCTTTTGTCACATTTTGGCAATAAGTAAAATTACATTAATAAAATTAGTTTAAAGGTGAGGGGCACAAAAGCACACGGTTCCGGAGATTTGCCCATGTAAAAGTTACGAGCGAGTGAATATTAAATGGAAATGTTATTTCTAGAGCTCGGATACGTATGTTAAAAAATATGCCTAAAAATATGTACCATAATAACTATAAGCAAAGTGTATAAAAATTTATATACAGTAAGCGTCAAAAGTATGAATACCCTGACGTTTTTACGAACTTATTTGGTTATATTTTACATACCAAATTTAACTTATTTTTTATAGACATATAGTTTATTTAACCACATAGTGCAATGCAAGAAATACCAAAAAATTGTCATCAACATTTTAAATTTTTCATTAGCTTCTGTAGTCCATTAAATTACAGTATAATAAAGAGCAAGCTTAAAGTGGCTAAAAATTACCATTGATTTTTGAGCATTTTTTTGTCGCGGGTGTTGCGCATTTTGTTCCATATAAAAATAGATTTTGTTCATGCTGTGTGTCTCGGAGGATACAACGGTATACATAATACCAGGAATTCCTTTATTTTATTGAAAAACTGTTTTAAAAAATACTGTACTGTAAAAAATGATTTTAATTTTTAATAGAGATACTGCGAAGCGGGACTTTTTGCAGTAATATACAGTTTTTGTCCGAAAAAAGATACGAGCGTTAGTTATACGAAAGAAAATGCGCAACCCCTCGCAAAGAAAGCTCTCAAAAATTAATGGTAGTTTTTAGCAACTTGAAACTTGTACTTTTTTATAATAAAAATTAATGAGCTACAAAAAAGCATACTACATTTTTCTAAGAAATCGAGTTGAAAAAATTTAAAATTTTGATGAAAATTTTTCGGTATATCTTGCATTTTCCCGAGTTCTGTATGCAATTAAGAAAATTGATTCTGTTGAATAAATTATATTTTTGTAAAAAATAAGAAAAATTTGGTATGGAAAATATATATTCATATAAATAAAATCGTTACAACGTCGGGGTATTCGTATTTTTGACGACGACTGTATTTTGTTTATATCCAGTTATGATGGCACATATTTTTAGGCTTACCTTTTTGCATACAAATCCGAACTCTAGTTATTTCAAATTTTTTTCATGTATACATACTACATACATATTATGTAAGCACTCGAATTAATTAAAAAAAAATTAAATAAAGGCTTTTGCTTAGAATTGCTTATTTTGCTTATTCAGCGTTTCCAAGCTTAACATAAAGCTAAGTAAGGACCATTTAAAAAAACGGCCAAGAAATAAAGTGCTATTATTTTGTGTGTCCAATGAGTTTTGACATCTGATATTTTACAGCCTGCTGTCTCACTAACGAAATAATGGAACGGGCAAATATTTATGTTCAAAACAAGGGTGCCTTGTACTCTTCACAAACAAACTTTAGAAAACCGTAGAAAATTTGCCTTTATCATTTTCTGTATGAATAAGATAAAAACACTTTTTTTTCTGTGTATCATGTTACACTGGATTACAAATTTCAATTTGGTTTCTTTTCTCCAGACGCCACTATCCAATTTCTATGTAGAATTGCTCGGTGATTCCGAAAGTCGGGTTATTTTTTTTTCTATAGGTACGTTTTCGAGATATTTGCAGTTTACCGTTATTCAGCATAAAGCAAAAATGGATTCCTTTTAAGCACGCACATATATCTTACGAACCAATTTAAAAATCTTAATATAGAATACGGCAGATGAAAGCCAATGAAATTCTCCATAAACCGTATGTACATCACTTTCCGATAGGGCTTATAGTTTCTGAGAAATTAATTAATCATTCCACCTTTTTTTTTAATAAAAAAATGAAAAAAAAATCAAATTTTAACAAAAGAAAAATTTAAAAATATAAGGTTCTGTGCCAAATTTTTACTTGTGTACTAAACTTTGTTCTGTTAAAAAAAAAATCAAGTTACTGATGAAGAAAGCCGATGGATAAATACGAAATAATGAATGCGCAAAGATTTTTTATGGACTCTTAATTTGGAATAGCCATATATAAATATGTATGCAGATATGGTTTCGCCTCAATAATTAATATTATTTGTTTTCCAATATGAAGTACAAACAAATAAAACACTTATTTTTCCACCTTCGGACGATTTTGATTTTCATTAACACGTGGTTTTTTCTTGGGATATACTACGTCCAAATGCTATTTGTTATTTTTTTTAATTTGCCATTTTCGCAATTTTTCGAATTTTTTTCTCATAAACTGGACGTGCTAGAACAATTTTGTAAATGCACTTCAAACAACTAAAAAAAAATTTATAAGATTAGATTGGTCCCGTTTTTGAGATAAAATACCACCAAATTTTGTCTTACTGTGTTATAATTTTGTTACAGAAAAATACAAAAATATTTTGGACTGTGTAATCAAATAGCACTTTTGCTTGTTTGCTCTCATTTCTTTATAATCCGGTATCAGCTTCAACCAAGCCATCATCGAACTTGTTGCCTTGAAAATTTTAATGAATTGGAACTCTGCTGATAGGCCTATAGTTACTTAATAAGAAAATAAATACATACTTATTTTTCTGCTGTACTACTTCAAATCAAACTCACATGAATGCACATTAGGGTGGTCCAAAAATGCATGTGAATAGTTAAGTAGGAATTTTTATGCTCTCACCCCTAAGGATTGTTCTATACCACAAATAATATACCCTTAGTTTTCATTTTGAAATCAAAAAATATTTACAGTTCGCTCAAAGTGCCTAAAGTTTACCATGCACCTTATATGGGAAAGGAAAACTCTAATTCTCTTTAGGAGGTTCCCAATAATAATACCCAATTATTTATAGTAACTATATTTTATAGGTCCGCCAAAACCCCCAGCAAATGGAATGGGGGAGAAATAAAAATTTTTAGTATAAAAAAATTTGTAAACATAAAATTGGGTATTCTTATTTTAAGTCACCTTTAGAGAACCAGAGTTCTCCGATCTAAATATATTGAATTTCATACCACTTTTGCGAAAAGTTGTTTTTCGCCATATAAAATACATGGCAAACTTTGAGCGATTTGACCAAAGTCTAAATATTTTTTCATTCAGAAAAAATTGGGGTATATTTATTTCGATATAGAATAATCCTAGGGGTTAAGAGCACTAAAATTCCGGCTTGACTTATGTTAGACCACCTTAATGTACATACATATGCAATTGGGCATAAAAAACTACACTTACACAATATAAAGCCAATAAAATACATTGAATCCATCTAATTTACTTCATTGACAGATTTATTCACAGATTGAATCATTAAATAATTTCGTTGACGATACCAAACTGATTAGAATAGAAGATGGCAATTTACTTTTTTCATTTAGGGCAGTTTTCGGATATGTAGCTTGATTCCCATGACCGTGTCATCAATAATTTAGCGCTCGTT